AAAACCTCTTGCTGGAATGACAGAATTCTGGGACAAAGGTATTGAGGGGTACTAGGGCCCTGGGTGGAGGTAGATCAGAGGTGTGCAGGCAGCGCTTTGGTTCGGAGGGTGGGGGGGGGGGGTTTACGTTCCAAAGCTGTTTACAAAAATATCTCTCTAGTCAGTTTTTCTCTTACACTGCACAGGATTATGGGGCAGGGTGTTATCTTCTTGTTTTATTCTCTGAATGTGGGTGTGGCTGAATGGATGGTCTGCTAGATGCGGGTGTGACACAGATGGACAGAAAGTGTGAGATGTTTCATTAGAGCGTCAGTGAAGCCAGCCCTGAGCAGGTTTCGGAAGGAGACTATGGGGATACTTCAGTGTTGCTCTCTATTCCCTTCTGGGTTTGGTGCTTCAGCCATTGGTAAATTCTTCCGGTAATTCCCTTGGCATTCCTGGCCCAAACCCTGTTACCAGAGGGCCAGCAGGTGCGGTTGGATGTTTTACCGAAAGACATGAGGGAAGCATGAGCTGCCGTTTGCCCACGGGACACGGTGGACCTCCTCTCTTCTCGTGGGATGCTCCTGCTAGCCATGTGCTTTCGTAACTGTTACTTAAAATTGTTCAGTAATTACACAGCTGCACATTAACTGTGTGTGTCACATTTATAAGCCTGTCACTATTTTATTTAAACATGTTTCGAAAGACTGGAGGAAATGCAGAGAATGACTGTTAATTCAGCTGTTTTATTATATTTGGTGCCTGCCTCTAAAAAAGGGGTCTGTAGCAACTGTTACTGTGGGCGATGTAAACTCTTGATAATTGCATTATGGTTGTAAACCCGTGTCCTCAAACATACATCCAAAGTTTCAAAAGAACAAACATGCTGTGGTTTGACCTTCAACAAATAATAAGCCTAGTTTCATCAGTTACTGAAATTCAGGCTGTTAGGCATGTACTGCAAACAGTATGTGTTTGATCAACATCAGCACTAAATTCAGTGTGGGAGGATGGAATCCGAGGCTGTGCTTAACATCCTAAATTAAACAGACTAAAGGTAAAAAGTATAACAGGAAAAATGTATAGTACACCACGAGTCTCATTTTCTGTCCTCTTTCATCACTTGTGTGTGCAAGATGCTCATGGGAGTTTTACTTCTGAGGGCAGAAAGAAAAATGATTGGTTCAGAGAGATAACCAATCAGATTGTAGAGGAGGTGTGTCCAAGCCACTATATCATATGTCTCTGTCCTGCCTCCTCTAGTCTATAATTTTTTGTTCTGCCCTTAGGACATTTTTGTGTAAGTAAAGCTCCCACAAGATAGAGCCTTCTGTTTTTTTTTGGGGGGGGGGGGGGGTTCATTTGTGCTTCAAATGAATGCCATCTGTCTGAGAAATCAAGGTCTGCATTGCAGACCTTTGTAGAAAATCAGCTCATCATCCACTGACATAACTATACATAAATAGGTATAACTATATCTGCAAGGAGGCAGTGGTGTCCCTGCGAGGAAAATGAGATGCCCTTTAAGTGTTCATTATGCTTCATGTTGCTTATTCATCTCCTGCTGGAACCTGTAGAGGTTACGGATTAGGGGAGCAGAAATGCGGAGGGAGACACATACAGCTATGATTTCTGCTAAATGAGGGTAAAACGTTGCCTGAGATGCTGGTGGACCAGAAGGTGCAGGAGCCTTACATTGGTCTAACCTGGACTGTTTACCTTTAGAAGCTCGTTATCGTGCTTTTGCTGTTATGGATGTTGCATCGTATAAAGACGCAGAAAAATAAAATGACATGAAATCGATTTCATAATATTAAACGAATGTGATCACCTGAAAGGTACATGAGCTCAGTGAAATTGGAAGCGAATGCATGTGAGTGGGGAGAAACAGCAGCGATGAGAGTAAAGTAGTGGCTCCTGCAATCAAAACGCTTCTTCAGAACAGACCGTTTTTTTAAGCTGCTTCTATTTTTAAATGCTCATGTGAACATTTGCAGCTGTGCTGTTCTATTTCAGACTTTGGATTATACTATTGAATCATGGACAACTAGAGCTAAAACACCCTTGTTATCTGAAGGGATATTTTTTCGGTAAAAACTGTTTAGGCACCTGTAGATTATATACTGACAGCAGTGAGTCTGATAGGGCTCATATACATCTGCACTTACTGCCATCGTGTGTTGCATTGTACGTCTCATTGTGTTCTGAAGACTCCTTTGAGAAAAGCAAAGACCGGTGCTTCTTTTGACTCGATCCCAGCTTTTCCACTTTCACAGTTTGGAGACTTTAAAAGATTAATATTACGAAAAGCGTTTCATTTCGAGCCAAGAATTTGGGAGCAGTTTGCATTTTCCAAGTGATGTTTTTTTCATTTTCAGCAAGTACGCAGTTTGGATGGATGCTCTTGCACTATTTTTGCACACCCCATGGTGGCAGCGTCTAGCATCCCCCCCCCAATGGGCCTGGTTCTGTAATGGAAATGTGTGGAGAAGTGTGAGCATCTCCAGAGCAGGCCATCTCAACAGTGACCACACTGGCCCATCAGAACCAGAGGAACCTGCTCCCCTGGGCAGTTGTACCAGACACAGGCAGCTTCTGGCCATACCTGAACACATGGCCCATCTTCAGACAGAATATTTTCTAGCCTCTTTACAGTTTAATTCGAATGAAATTGTAGCCTGAGGCAGGTCTGCATGACCTTCCCCAAATGAACCAAAAAAGGACAGCTGGAGGGTTTTTTATTTTTAAACAAAGATGTTATGGTTTTCCACAGAGCACAAAAACACATTAAAACCTCCTTTGAACCTAAAGAAAACACTACAGACTCCCAGGATGGGGCTGTCGCTCTCAGGATAGCAGGTAAATGTGGCCACCCTTCACAAATCACAGCTGCTTCAGCCAAGCCACCGAGCGCTCGTACTTGACAGATTTTGAAGCACAAGTTTAATATATTTTCATCCATTAGAGGAAGACGCTGGGCGTTTGACGTCAGCGATGTGAGATGATGTCAGGATACATTTTTCAGAATCTGTGAAGACACCATTTCTGGAGACAAAATTTGAGTTTGAGAGAGAAAATACATATCACCTGTCATGCCCCGTCCTCATGAGAGTGCCGGCTCATCAGTGGCGAGCGGAACCACATGCTCCGCCCCTTTAAAACCCCTCCCGTACCTCACATTCAATGTGAGGTATTGTTGATCCTAATGCTACTTACAGAGTGTGCTTCCTCTGTCTCCTGTCCAGCCCTGAACCTTCCTGCCTGCCCAGTTCCCGCGCCTCTCCGATTCTTGATCCAGATCCTGCTCCCACCTGACCTTCCTGGTGTGTCTTCCTCCTGTCTCATGCCATGCCCGTAGGACTGACCACCAGGCTACCGAACCCACCTGCTCTGTGACCCCGACTCCGACCTTGCTCGCCAACTCTGATTCTGTTTGTGAGGATACCAGAATAATGCCCTGTGTCCTCGCATCTTTGGGTTCCTGTGCGTTGTATCTTTCACATTACCGAGTGTCTGGACAGTGCATTCCAGCAATGTCAGCCTAGACATATATCACTGAGTGTACAGACAGCGCATTCCAGCCATGACAATCTGAACTCCAGTGGAATCCATAGCACTGTAGCACAAACCAAGCCAAAAAGGCATTTCTAAATATCAGCTGAATTATAATATAACCCTCTTTATCTCTCTCCATTGGCTCCCTATATGAACTCGCATCAACATCAAGTGCTTGGTGCTGGCCTTCAGATCCATCAATGGACAGGCACCCATCTCCATCAAGGGGGTCCCTAAGTCCTAAGTTCCATCTCACCCTCTTCGGTCAGCAAACCATTGCCCCTTGGGGCTTCTACCACCAAGTGAGAAGTATCACTCAACACGGTTCTCATGTCTGGTTCCAGGATGATGGAATGAACAGCTCAATCACGGCCGATCACCAGACTCCCTCTCTACCTTTGAGAAACGGCTCAAGACCAGTGTGTTCCAGAGATTTCTCTTCTAACCTGATGCCTCTTTACGTTCCCTAAATGTTCATAATGCTACACTTCTAGACATTGAATAGTATCATTAGATTCTTGCTTTATTGGAAGATGTTGTGTAACCCCTGCCTACAGGCAGCCCCGGAGTAAGAACGTCTGACTTACAAACAACTCATACACATGAATGGACCCCCATAAAGCCTATTACATAAAAATTTTTGGTTAAATATAATGGTTCATAATAAGGAACACATGCACTGCTTCGTGATGCTCATGAAAACACTGCACAGCTCACGGTACAGTGCAGTACCCTATGTAGTTACTATTATTATTATGCACTGTATTCCGACTTATCTACCAATTAAACTTAAAGACAGACAGTAGATCTCGTTCATAACCTGGAGACTGCCTGTACTTACATGTATTCCTGGGCATTCATTGGAAGATCGGCCGAGTTGTACTTACGCCTAGTCAGCTCAATGTGCTATTGGACAAATGTGCTATTGGACAAAAACGGCTGCTAAATGATGTAAATTCAATTAACCATATTTGTCCAAGGGTACATATTTGATAAGAATATTTTATTCTACAGACAGTTGTATAAGCATTTTTGTATGATGAATGATGTGTGTGTGGTGAGGGAAGACAGTGAAGGTCACCAAACTGACTCACTTCTTGAAGTTGTGAGAATCAGCATGATGAATGCAGTTAAAATGTGACGCCTCCTTTATGTTTCTGTCCTCTGGAGCTTCTGCTGAGCACGTCCATCCTAGCCTGTGGCTATGGTACGTCAGAGGGGGCCCCGGTCGCTTCCCGGAACCTGCCCACTCCACACATGGATGGGGAGCGGAGAGTAGAGATGCAGCACCATGGAAACTGGTGCATACAGTCGGTGGGGGGCTTCGATCACAAAGGCTGGTGTCTGAGCGAGTTCAAATGCACGTGACTCAACCTCACAGCACCAACCAAAAACGATGGGAGGATGAAGAACAAGATACAGCATAAAGTCCCGACACCAGACAGATTGCCTGAGGACCTTGCTCCTTAAATTATAGCCCTTTATTTAATAGTCAGTTCATAGATGCTAATTTTGGAACAAAGCAATTTAATGCAGTTTTAGGCTGAAACATACATAACTTTAGTTTATTTCATAATGGCATATATGGTAATTAAATGCTCAATCACATTAATGCTTAGTGATGGATTTTAAGTCTAGTTGCTTTAATGGCTGTTAATATAATCTGTTAGTATAATCTGTGTTTCTGAATGCAATGCATCTGCACTATAAAAAACCTGGTAATATCAAACAGAGCCAAGCATCATCCAGTAGCATCAGCGTCTGTTTCTGAGCTCCAAGGTTCAAAGGTGTGGTTAATGATCCACTGAGCTTTTATGACCCATTCTATAAGCAACATCAAGGAAAATGTTTAGATAGCGATTTTGATAATGTGATAATGGAGCATTTTGCTTTTGAACTGTGCGAAATTCACATAAAAATATAGAATCATAGACTTTTCTATAGGACTGTCACCATTCCAGTGTTTGTACACAATAGCTAAATAGCATAATCTCCAAATCAACTGTATCACATTTTTGTTACAAGAAATAGTCAAGAGAAGGGAATGTTTGTTTTGTGGCACAAGATCACGTTCAAGGTCCTCTGCTCTTCTTTTAATAGTAACAGTAAATTCTCCGACAGAACGAGGTCACCCTGTGGTGTGTGTCTGTGCCATCAGGTACTAGCTGCTCCTCTGTTTGGTCTTTGTCGACTTGAAGGTCCCGATGAGGTTCCCATGGACCGGAGCCAAAGCCGGGCCTGTCCCTGCACCCGGGCTGCTCACAGCTCCTCACATCAGTCACATGGCTTGTCCAGCTGCACATTGTAGAGTCCCAAATGCATCCAGTTCGCTGCTTCCTCTCCAGAGCCAAAACACGTCTGACTACATCTTTGCATCACAGAACCTGATCATGTTTATCCACATACAAAAAAAATTGTTTCAAAAAGACCACAAAAAAGGCAGAGATAGTTGTTTCTGCTTTAGAATAATTCTTATTGTTTCTCATATACTGTATGCATTTATAACAATAAAGCTGGCTGTCAGTGAGTAGAGTTGGGGGTTAGGGTGAACTCCAGCGGCTCCTCAATATCCAAGATGGCCGGGTAGCTGTTCCAGCAAAACCTTATAGATTTAAAACACGCTATGAATTTCTGGAAGGCGGCAAAGTTTCCCTGTCCTGCTTCAAGCAGTTCCCCGTCTTCCAGGATGGTTTCCCTCAGTGCTGGAGCTGTTTCAAGCTGGAACAAAACACAGAGTTAGTCATTCACGCTGCTCTGGGCAGCATACGTTTGATCCCTTGGGTACGAGACTGGCGGAGAGGTGTGCAGGCCCGAAGCGTGCAGAACACGCAGAACAGACCAGACATGCAGACACTGTGCCAGCCCAGCAATCAAACCTGCAGCGTACGAGGTGCAAAAAATCTTATGTGCTTCAGAGTTTTGGTCACGGCTTATTAATTATGTTAAATTTGGAATAAGAGGAAGTGTGCATAAATTAGGCTTAGGCGGAATTACGGTCTATTGTGGTATTTTGGGTATACTCCGGTATTTTGAAAGCTTTGTAACAAAATTAGCCACCACCACCCCTACAGCAAATTTATCGGCAAGATTTGAAAATACCAAAATACTGTCAAAATGACATATATGGTATAATACAGTGTTTCCCAACCCAGTCCTCGGGGAACCCCAGACGGTCCACGTTTTTGCTTACTTTCAGCTCCCATTGCACCTGTACCAGGTAATTGGTGTTCCTGATTGGCTGGGGGCTGGGAGGGAGCAAAAACGTGGACTGTCCGGGGTTCCCTGAGGACTGCGTTGGGAAACACTGGTAATATATGGACAGCATGACAGTGTGAAAAAGTAGATAACCGCCCAAGCAACCATAAATATAGAAACACAGACACGTCTGCTTGGGCATATTTGTATGTGTGTGTCTGTTTGTGTCCATGTGTGTCTCCACAGCCCCAATGTGCATATACCTCTGTACAGCTCATCACATCACCTGTGACACATTTACTGTAATGTGGTGAAAGGCCTCACAAACGGCCAGGATTAACAGGCCTGTGCTGAAGATAACGTCCTTTCCTGGAACCTGGTGAGATGCTCAGTCTCTCCCATGAATTTACTGTACCACTCAGTGGAGTTTTGCCCTTGGTTTGAGCCTGTGATGCATAATTAACTGTATTATAAATATATCTATCTAAGCCTTAGAAGCTGTATTCCTGGGGGAGAGATGGTAACGTGTTGTGTGTGTTCTGAAACTAAATAGATAAACTGCGGAGGAAGATTGTGGCCTCAAACAGGACAGATTATCCTGGCCAGGTCACCTTGGCAGTAGTCTGGCTCCCACAATGCAGTGTGGCTCTCTGAAGTTGGGGCCAAGGACGATCGAACAACGCAGGACATTTTAAGAAAGAATGAGGAACATAAAATTCAGACATCTGCCGCCGGGCGCCCGACCTGGGGAGACTGTGAAGGCTGCGACTGGTGGCCCTGGGACTCCATCAACTTGACGGGGATGTAAATTTTAATGGGCGGCTTTGTGTGTCTCGTGCTCCTCCTGGCATCTCCTCCAGATGGAGCCGTCTCTGTCTCTAGGGGAGGCACTGTTTACACGGAGCGAGGCAGGATTGGAGCCGGCCTACGGCAGAAGACGCCTCTGCAACAGCTATGGGAGGATGTGGATCTGCGGTTCAGGCAGGCAAGATCTTGGCCGGCCAATCTAGCGTAAAAATCCACAGGGCAGAAGTGTGCTGAAAAATGTTCATTTTAATGTTTCTTCTACTAGCTTTATGAAAGTGATTTTTGGAAAAAAAAAAGTGTTTCTAATCTTTATTGAACGTGGCCCAGTATACCATCTGTCAGTGTCACCAGCAGCGGCAGAGTGTCACCAGCAGGACCTTGGCAGTCTCAGGCGAGCGTAACTGCGGGCCGTGACCCCCGACACGCGTATCCCATGAGCAGCTTCCGTTCTGAAAGCTCCACTTAGTATGGTGCTGGTGGCTTCGCCGCACTCTGATCTGACTGGTGAGGTGACTCATGACGTTAGCGTGCTAACTGGCGACGAGAAGGTCTCTGACCCCATGTGAGCAGAGATCGCCACAGGCAGGGGGAGGCTTTTTCTGGGTGAGACCCTGGCAAGCCACCTTGGCAGCTGCGGCAGGGTCTGCATTCCAGGTGAATCATGACGAGATGGGTGATCGAGGATGACAAGCGTACGGACATGGATGGCTGAGCTGACCAAGCAGGCGTGACTCCCAGCAGTGGCCGGGCGCCGACGGTGGGCAGGGGCAGCTGGACCGGGCTTCTGAGCCATCAGGCTACACACTTGGATTATCAGGTCCGGAAAGCAGCAGGTGGTGCACAGCAGAAGGGTTAAAAGGCACTGGGGAGGAGAACAAGGTGCCGTCTGATTGGCTGTGTGAGGGATGCTACACTGCGGTGGATTGGCTGTGTGAGGGATGCTACACTGCGGTGGATTGGGTATGTGAGGGATACTACCCTCCGGCTGATTGGGTGTGTGAGGGATGCTGTCCCCCAAACCCCTGGCCCACTGGGTGTCTTGTAGCTCACTGTTTGCCTATGAAACCCATCTGTACTCGCCTGCCCAAAAACTGCATGTCAGGCGCTTGTAGGAGAAAGGCCGCCAGTCCAGTGTAAGGAGTACAGTTTTGCACAGCACACAGCATTGCAGTGGCGTTCAGGCGGGGTGTAGTACACGGCCTTAACAGGAAAGTCGATAATAAATGCATAAAAGCAATTTACATGGCGCAGTCAGTGACAAGGACACCTGAGCCTGATCCGTCAATCTTACCCCAGTGTCATCGATCATACAGAAAACTCTGCGCAGCTCCGCAGGTCTTTGGCTTTGCTGACTACTGGTTTTACGGTTTGCAGTCGCCGGAGAGACGCAGGGTCTGCGTGCACGTCAGCGTCGCACATGTGACCGCGTGTGAGATTACTCCAGCCAAGGCGGCATGTTGCCGAGCAACTCGGGAAAGAGAAATTTTCTACCAACAACGCAGCAGCGTGTCCTTGTTAAGGATGTATTTATAGAGGAGCTGTTAATCCCGTGAAACATCACGCGTTTCACACAATTATCCAGCAGCGGTCGGGCCAGATGCTTCTGGGATTTCAGGGATTTGTGGGGAGCTCTGGAAACTTCCGGGCATTTGAACAACACGTTTGGAACGTGTCCCTAGACATGAGCATGTGACCCCCTGCCCCCCCTCCATGAAAAGATGCCAGGGTCAGCTCATAAAAGCTTGAGAAATTAGCAAAAAAATAACCAGTGTAGTTCTGAGCATGGTTAGGGCAGTTTGTGCTGCATTAGCTGTGTACAGTGTAAGGTGTGTGAATGAGGCCCCAGGTCCTGTCAATCATAGCATGTAGTGACGGTATCTGCATTTGGCACTGTGTCACCAACAACTTTTAAAGAATAGAGGGGAAAAGGAACTGCTTCTTGCAGTACAATAAGGTGGCTATCTGGATAATAATTCCTACATATCTGGAGTGCATAGCTCTGGTGTACCACCACCCCATGTAAACTGCAGTACTGTAAGTCAAACGTGGCCATCCACTTCAAACAAGACCCAGACAAACTGAAATCCAACACATCAGCACAAACACTCCGTCACCTACCAGAAACCACCTCATCCCCTATGTCACGCCCCAACCATAGAGTGCACAGAATGTTTTCGATGCAGCAAACCCACATACAGAGCGCAAATGAACATACCGTGGTGAGTGCATGAGTCATTTTAATATTGGAGATGATGGCTCTTTAAAAATGGAAGTTGTTCTCTTTATTAACAGACATTATTTGTCTGATAATAGCTGCGGCACAGATAGCGAGTCCAACGATTTTTACGGCACTCACAGTTACATGCTAATGAAACACATTCCACAGGAAACATTACACGGTTATGACATTTACCATTAACATAAATACACAAATACCTATTTTCATTTACACTATTTAAAGATACATGCGGTGCAGGGAAATCATGCCGGTAACTGCATAATTAGTTCTGCTGACCAACCTCGCGGCATGAAATGATGTCAGCCAATCGTGGACGGCGGGTGGGATCAGAACCAATGAAAATGCCTCAGGGGCCCTATGCAACGCTGCACCAAAAGTCATACCATGTGGTATTGCGAAAACGACGCTGATTCTGTCTATTTCATTTGAAATGTAAGGCCAGCTTAAGCAGTAACCCACATGGCAATGTAGTTAGCATAGTTACTGCCCTGGGCTCCTCTGTCCATGGTCCACTGCGTGGCACGATCCTTTTATTGTCATTGCATATTAATATACAATGAAGTTTAGTTTGAAGCAAACCGTTTAACTTAGCAGTTTAAAATGACATAAATAGAAATTTGCCCATGTGAGGTAAAAAGGTGCGAATTGCATTTCATCTATCAACTGTATACCACAGTGATTATGGAAGATGTAACGATTCTCCAGTCAGATCGCACATAGCATCCAGATGAAAGCCCGCTGTGAACCGCTCCCCCGCCCTCCCTCGTCCCCCGCCGGCCACCTGCCGGGCTGAGCACACATGCATCTGCTCATTCATGGAGAAACATGCCTGACTTGTAATTGCAAATTAAACGGCACAGTTGAGTAGCTAGCAGCATCACTCACTTGTTCTGGTGCTTGGAGCCCTGGAGATGCGCGTGGTACTGCTCGATGGAGTTTAGGGTCACCTTGCATATGCCGCAGGAGAAGGTGCTGCGCAGCCCTGCACAAACACGCAGAAAAACATTACTGAGTAATGTATATGCTCCGTACACGATGGTTTGACTTAGGATATTTCAACTTTTTGCAATGGCAAGTTGTAGTCAGCAAACTTTGACTTTTGATCTTTTTCTAGGCTAGTGATAACCAAATAAACTTGTATTTATTTATTTACTTTTCAATCACTGGCACTTAGTCACAAGTAATTATTAATTTGCTCATTCAGTGACAGTAGTTATTTATTTACTTATTATTTATCTATCATATTCATATTCAGCTTAGGATATTTTCCACTTAGGATGGGTTCATTGGAACATAAACCCATCATAAGTCAAGGAGTACCTGTATATCACTTAATTTCATTGTAACCCACTTGCACAATGACCAACAAAAATCCCTGATCCTTGATTCTAAGTAGGTCAGTAAAATGTCTTGTTTAAATGTGACTTTTGTAGATTTAAAAAACATTCCAATATTTGAAACAAAAGACAGACCAAACTATTATTATTATTATTATTATTATTATTATTATTATAGATACAGATAGATTGCTCCTAACTGGGGGAAAAGGAGACAGTGTTACACATTGTGATAAAGCCTTTATCTCTTTTCGTCTGCCTGGTTGGAGGGGAATACATTAGCATTTTGGTTTTAGTGCCAAATAACCTTTAGGAGTATGAAGTCAGCGCTTCGCACAATGGAGGAAAGTCAAGCATAATGTGTGCCAGTGTTCATAGTGGAGAGAAATGTATCATAATATTCTGTTTTTTCAAGGTATATTGTCATGTACTGTGTACACTTTACATTTGTTTGCACCCTGTTTACTTTGTTTACACTGTGTGTACTCTCTTTGTACCTTGTCTGTTTGGTGCTGTATGTAGGTTCATTTGTATATGTATGTTCGTCTGTGCACTACACTATTTGCCCTGGGATCAATAAAGCACATCTTAATTTTGCTCTTAATCAAATAAAATGCATTGCGGGTCTTGTAAGACTGTTCTCAGCCATCCATGCATGGAGATGCCAACACAACGAGTGTTTCGGCTGAATATGGCAGTAACAAGGCAAAGAGGGAATGGTAAAAACCTGTCTGTCTGTCATTACCCCTCCTCCGCTGATTTCAGCCTATGGAGTAAATTCACACTATTTTCTGAAGCCGGAATCTAAAATTAGGGTGAGATAGCAGCTGCCCCTTGCATTTAAGGCTTGGGTTTCAATCTGCCATGTCACCTGTCTTCCAGATTGACACAAGATTGATCAGGCCTGTGATCAGCATCCCTGCCAAAAGTGTGTGCCGCCGGAAGCTCTGTTGATGATCCCATCCACGGCGTTTCGCCAGTCACTTCTAATTTCCTGTGATTATCGCACACTGACATGCTAAAAGCTTTTGACTGGGGGTTGTTCAAGAGGAGCAGCTGGGCACTGTTCTTTAGTAGCCCCCTCTCCGGCCCGGACCAATGACTGTTCTTTAGTAGCCCACTCCCCAGCCCGGACCAATGACTGTTCTTTAGTAGCTCACTCTCCAGCCCGGACCAATGACTGTTCTTTAGGGGCCCCCTCTCCGGCCCTGACCAATGACTGTTCTTTAGGGACCCCCCTCCGGCCCGGACCAATGACTGTTCTTTAGGGGCCCCCTCTCCGGCCCTGACCAGTGACTGTTCTTTAGGGGCCCCCTCTCCAGCCCGGACCAATGACTGTTCTTTAGTAGCCCATTCTCCAGCCCGGACCAATGACTGTTCTTTAGGGGCCCCCTCTCCGGCCCTGACCAGTGACTGTTCTTTAGGGGCCCCCTCTCCGGCCATGACCAATGACTGTTCTTTAGGGGCCCCCCTCCGGCCCGGACCAATGACTGTTCTTTAGTAGCCCACTCTCCGGCCCGGACGAATGGCGGATCTTTAGTGGCCCCCTTTCTGGGCAATGAGGCTATTTAGAAAAGGAGGGACTGGAGGATGCCAGAATGGCAGCATTACACAGACACAGAGAAACAATTCCTCCAGTGCGGTGGTGTGTTGTACAGGGAGTGATAGGCCTCTGTGCAGAATATCTCACATGTCTGTTGGGCCCCTGAGCAAGGCCCTTAATTAACCCAGTGAAATAATTCGTGGGCGCCGGATAAATGGCCTGGCCCTGTGCTCAGACCCCCAGCTTCGCTCTACTATATGTGTGTCTCAATGGAGAGCATGATGGGATATGTGGAAAGAAGCATTCCAATGTACTTGTGCAAAAGGCAAATAAAGCATCATATCAACTACCTGCCTTTGAATTTGTTTGAGGCTGAGACCTCAAGCATTTTTGGGTCACTTGTGAAGGCAGACATATTCCTCTGTCAATCACGGCTTTGGAATCTGACTGAAAGGCCTGAACTGTTCTCTTACCTGAGGCATATATGTACAGTTCTGTGTATGGATTCACTGCACTCTGGTGCCAAAAGGAACATGATGCTGACTATGCATTACACGGAGGATTATCACAATATAAGAGTCTCTCAAAGAGAGGTTTAAATGGAATGAAAACAGAACTGATTTCTGTGGATCTTACCCATCCTAATGTAGGGCCAAGCCATACTGTACCATAACATGAATGGCTGTTTTCCATTCCAAGTCCCACACTTACAGGAAGTAAACAACCCAAGAAATATTTGCACACTCATACAACTTAAGAAACTTGGCAGTTGTGGTTATGCCATTTGGCCTCCGTTTCCTATTGGTTATTATTGTAATTGATCATATTATTGATTGACTATTGCTGTTTTTCTCTGATTATATTTGGATGCTGTGGCGCAGGATTAAACAAGAAAAATCTTTGTGACTCCCCTGGAAAGTGGCCATAAGTGGCCGAATGATACTCTGAAGGGTCTGTCATTATCTGCTCACATCTCAGAATGAATTCCATACATATGCTGCATTGCTGCAGCTTGTAGACCAGTGTTTCCCAATCCAGTCATTGGGGACCAGCAGACAGCCCATGTGCACTGGGAGGGAGCTTGGGGGGAGCAAAAGCATGGACAGACTGTGGGTCCCAAAGGACTGGATTGTGAGACATTGTTATAGACAATGGATCCAGGTCAGAAAGCAGGAGCTTGGTTTGACTCCATTTAAATACCTGACAGTTCAGTCAGGATCCTGTCATAGAGTTGAGCGGAAGATGCTCTTTGACGTACATGAGGCTTCCAGGGTCGCCTCTCTGAAAGGATTCCCCCGAATTAAAGATGGATATACAGACGCTTCTCTGCTTACGAACTTTCAACTTAGGAACTTTCAGACATACGAACGAAGAGGACTTTAAGTCCAAATTGAGTTCATTGGGCTCCCGTTTCCTGTCGGCAACATCAATTTTTTTTCTGCGTGCCAATTCCGCCTAGTACATAGCGTAGCGTGCGTACTCCCAGCATCCTACTTCTTTGTACTTGCATATACCCTAAAAATGATGTTAAATAACGACTTACGAACATTTCAAGTTACGAAAGTGTCTCGTTCGTAAGTAGAGGAGCGTCTGTATGCTGAATAGACAGGATTTGTGGCATGATGGCATACAAAGGCGGTTGTGATAAACGAGCCAATCAGCATGCAGCGTTGGTGCCGCACCCACCTGTGGTCTCCGTGGCGTCCATGCTGCCCGCCAGCTGCTCCAGCAGCCTGGCCCGCGCCGCGTTCCTCTTGTGTTTCTTGCCTTCGTAGTGCTGCCGCGCCATCAGCGGGTTGTTGAACCATGCGCCACAGAGCCCACAATATTTTCCAGCCTCGCCGTTACACACTGGGGGCCACGGTGGCGTCTTGGAGGACGAGTCTGTAGGGCAGAGCAGGAAGGCAACTCAGGGCGTCAGTGACCTACGAGGTCCTTGTGAGTAGGACCGCTGAGCAGATCTACCAATGGTATTAGTCCTTGTGAGTAGGACCGCTGAGCAGATCTACCAATGGTATTAGTCCTTGTGAGTAGGACCGCTGAGCAGATCTACCAATGGTATTAAATCACCTCAACATTTTACCACAGACACGGACTGGTTGATGGTTCTCAAACATTTCAGCCCGTGACCCTCCAAGTAACAGTACCAGTGACCCTCAACCCCCATTATTGGTCCCCTATGGTAGATTTATCAAAACTGACTGGTTGCAGTTGTGGTTACGATTAAATTTTTATTAATCTTACGAGCCCCAGCAGTGTGCGAATCACTGCCCTAAAGCATGGTACTAACTGCTCATTGTTCCTTAGACTGCTCTGCATGCGTGAGTGTGTTTTTGTGGCAGATGTTAGATACAAGATGCATTGGGAGCACACTGGTTTTATAATACAAAATTACACCTATACAACACATTAATTACATAAAGTACATTCCAGATGCAGTGCCGCCGTGATCAGCCCATGATTGGGATGATTCAGATTCACCCAGAACAGGCAGAAGCATCCAGAGAAAGGCAGCAGGGTTAAAGGTTTAAGGCGTCACTGTATGCGGATCTCACTGTATGTGGCACACACAGCTCAGTGCCGTCTCCGCTATCTGGACTGGTCCCCGTCTTTACTGCCCTATCATTGTGACAGTAGCACCTGTTTTCCCTCAATTACACCATCTATCTCCTTCTTCTTAGGGGTCAGTCACGCACGCAGGGTCCCTGGGGGGGGTTGGGGGCAGACCGAGCTGTTTACTGACCGAGCTTTTACTGCACAGGCATAGATCTGCCACTAGGGGGCCTCATGCTGCGTGAGCTACATGAAAGAACATCACACCCTGTTTAATGTGCGGTGGGGCCCTACCTGCAGGGCTGGGGGCCAGAGGAGGCGCTGCCCCCAGGACAAGCCGCACTCGCTTCGCATGGGTCTTGCCCTGGTAGTGGGACTGGGCCACGATGGCAGAGGTGAAGAACATGTTGCAGAGGGTGCAGCACTTGTTCTGGTCGACTTCGGTCTCATCGTTGCCCTGGGGTGGGAGGCAGACCCACCGTCAGGCCCCTGTGGCCACACTGGCATGGAGGGGGACCAGGAAGACTAGCAGGGATTAAAGATGCACAATTGGGACGACCCTAGGTCTTCTAGCCCGAGTAAATATGCACTAATTAGTTCAAATAATGTACAGCATTTCCATCCAGCCCCCCCAGTAGACGCTTAGCTCCCATCTGTCCGTCCATCCATCCGTCCATCCATCCATCCATCCATCTATTTTCTACACCTGATTGTCAGGACTGTGGGGGTATGGAGCCTATTGCAGAAATTACAAATGCAAGGCAGAAAATAACCTAGAATAGGGCGCCGACCCATCGCAGGGCACACTCACACACACACGCACCGTTCACATGCACATTCACACCTACGGGCAATTTAGCAACTTCAGTTCACCTTAGCACATTTTTGGGCTGTGGGGGGACACCTAACGACAACACAGGGAGAACATGTGAACTTTTGTAGAGACTCGAGGCAGCAGTGCTAACCATTACACCACCGGTTTGACACCCCTTGTTTAAATGTCTGACAACGCTTCTGACGCATGGTGTGACAGGAGCTGGGGGGAGGGGGGTGTGGAGTATCACAGCCACGACTGCAGCCATGACGATGAAGACGAGGACCTGCTGGCGCCCCGCTCAGCCTCACTGAGTCACACTTACACGAGCTTCGCAGCCTCACAGAGAGCAGCCATGCGCCGGGACCCTTGCCTCTTCTCAGCCCGGGGGTGGGGGGCTGGAGCCAAATTAGAATGATAGTAGCCCTCAAAGCCCCTTGTTTCCCCCCCTCTTTGGTGCACACTGACAAACAGCCCCCAAGACACAATCTGGATGCCAAGCAAGAAGCAGAAGGGTCGCCATTTCCAAATAAGAGCAAATTTGAAATTTGGTCTAACAAGACCCCCACCCAGCAAACACCTGTTACCCGCCCTGGAACCCATTGCCGACGTCCCTTCCTGCTTCTTCAATCAACATCCATCTATTCACCTTCCGGCACTTTCCGTTTATGCATTACCAAGGCACTGTCTATACTGCTGTTGCTTGAAAAATCTATGAATTAATTTATTACATTTTATACTTACACTATTTTGAACTTTCACTGTGTGAATTGCACACTGCATACACTGCCTGTTAACTTACTCATTTTTTCAGAATATTGTTTGCAATGTATGTACTACTTTTGCACTATTTGTTTACATCTACATGCTTGCTGCTGTATGCAAAGGAATTTCTTTCACGGATCAGTATGGGATGTAAATCTTTATCGGTCCCACTTTACAAAAGGCTACCTTTTTGTGTCACTTATAAATGGTAGTAACTCATGAGTAAAAAGAAAATTGTTTTAAAGCTTGTTTATACTTGTCTATTAATGATTTACAAAGTGTTACAACCTAATTAATAACCTGATTATAAGCCATTCATAAACCCTTTATGAGTAGTCTTTTCTCTTTATTTTATGTCACCATAACAAATGCAAATTTATTATATAGTCTATACATAGTAAAACCACTCCTTGTTTAGTGATTACTTTTGGTTAGTGACCATTCGCAAATATGACGGTAATAAAAAATTAATTTTCTCATCAATGTGAACATCCATCCATCCATTTTCCAAACCGCTTATCCTACTGGGTCGCGGGTCAATGTGAACATTTACAACCAAATTTCCTACGCCTGAAAACAAGGCAGGTAGAATATACAAATGTTGTCGGAATGCTGAAGATAAGTCAAGGTCCTCTAGCGTTGGAACAGAGCTCGGTCACTAAACGAGGAGTGGTGGTACTGTATCACCCAATATTAAACTTCAGATTAAACTACAGCTTCAAGAAACATAAATGTAACCTGAATCCAAACAGAAGAAGACAATGTAGAATTATATCGTAATGTAAAGTTATGAGCCACACGTGATTTCACTGTAGATGGTTAGGTATAGGTAGGCGACCTGGACCAGCAGCTGACTCACCTCCCTGATCAGTCCATAGTTATATTTACTCACTGTGTTTCTTCAGTTCCCAGCTAGATAATGTAGGCCTACACACTGATCTTAATTTTGCCCACAAACTGACCTAAATCCTTCAAACTGGTCTGCATAAGAACTATGTCCGTGTCTCTGTTCAGGGGAGAGTGATCCCTAAACACACTGTGTCGGCCCAGTGACCCAATTTACAGGGCTGGAGCACTATGTTCCCTCCCATCTACTCCTCCTTCCATGATACACTGGTACGTCGCAGGTGTCCAACAAGCCTGAAGGAGGCGCTGGTGTAGACAATAGTCACATGGAGAGTTTAGTGAGTCCAATACCAGTCTGGCTTTGAAATGTGAAAACGAAGAACAGCAGGCGCTTTATTCATTGGGTTTGAAGTTCTGCTCATAAGTGGGTGGAGAGACGTCTCAGTGTGGGTAGATATGGAGGAGAGGAAAGGAGCCTCCATCAAACCAGAGGTTTTCTTCAGGTAAGTACATGGGGTCACTCTGGGAAGATCTTGTCACTTCTGGATTTGTTTCTGCTACATGGTGTAGTAATGCCATTCTGTGCCTGTAGGGGGCCCTCTCTCTCTGCCCAGTTACTCACTGCCACAGGACCTGCTCCTTCGGGGTAAGACACATGGAAAGGCTGATTTATTTGAACAAAGAAGCCCATGGATGCAAGCTTCCAGTGCCTGGCTCTCAGTCAAAACAAACCCTTGGTTGTGTGGCCTGTCAGCACTTTGATCTGCGGGAACCTTCACTGACCTACTTTCCCGGTGGCCGTCTGACAGGCAACATTTGGGGATGGAGACTGTAAGCAACACGCCTGACTCACTTGGGCTCGCCACGCGTTTCCTGGACAGCTCCATCCAATCGCCACCTATCCCGCTGTTTGATGGCCCAACACATGACCGGACAGCACTAGGCATGTGCGTTAGTCTCGTGACAGACAGATCAGTCTCAAGGGGAGGGCAAATGGGGAGTGGGGGGTGAGGAAACAAAAACAGGCAGGATTGGGGTAGCCGTTCAGTGACCTGAGCAGCTGCCTTGCCGCACACATCACCGAGCAGGTGGCATGAACACGTGCAGGGTCACCTGCCCTGGCGTGTCACAGGAAGCCCCTGTCTGCCCTGCCCTGTCACAGGAGGCCCCAAAATTCGAACCCAGGCTCTGTTATTATTCTGAGTTTGAACATGTAGCCAAGCTCTGGGGGCTGAGTGCCAGGGTGTTGGGCCTACGTACCGCGTTGTCTGGCCTGAGCCTCTTGGAGGGGGGGCCGCCATCCTCAGGGTGCAGCATGTAGAAGAGTCGCACCTTGTTTGCGTGCTTTTTACTCTGTGGTGGAGAGGGGGGGAGAGAGAGAGAGAGAGAGAGAGAGAGAGAGAGAGAGAGAGAGAGAGAGCGAGCGCTCAGACTGAAGGAGGCACTGTTTGCGTTTAATTACAGTTAAATCCTCTTGGCTGAAGGGGTCATGAAGTTTCATTTTTAAACTGGCAGAAAGTCTAATTGTCTTTAGTGAGGGAAGAAGGTTTCCTGCTAGAATGAATCCCAGGAGCCCTCACCGGCAGCTCGAGGAGCGAGGTTACAAAAGGCCAATGACTATGGATCCGTACCGCTGCACGAAGATGGATATTTTTGATTCCACAGAAGCGCAGACTCTGCATTAACCCTGTCATCTCCACGTTGGTGCTCAGAAACGGGGTGTATACAGTACCGGGGCTACAGGGGGGTTATCCCCAGGTGAAAGCTGATTGGCCAGTGGACTGCCCTGTACCCTGTCACTCACCGATCTGAAACATATCATTGGCTAATATTAAAGTTGGCCCATATATATGAATTATGGCCCCTTTTATGCCGCCCACCTTAAAAACATCCTAGAATGGCCCATGGATTTCAGGCTTTAGCTTCCTGCTAATTATGTTGATGCCTAAGTATGATCATATCTCTGTTCTTTGTGTGCATTTCTGAGTTTGAGACAGTGATAGTGTGGGTCTTTGTAGCACCAGTGCAGTGAGGCTCTGCCGGTGACCCTGCTCAGTGACTGATGGCGGCAAGGAGCCAGAGTATTTATCAACCTGTCAAAAGCACTGGGGGGGGGGGACGAGCTCAAGGCACAAAGCTGCACAGGATGGATAAGGCTCTGCTTCCTCTGTTTGGATGAACCTAGGAGACCTCAATAGGAGCCACGTGCTGTGAGAATGGTGGTCAGTGGAGCACCAGGGATGTGGGCCGTCCAGCTTCTGTCAGAATCATACGCTTCCTACCCATGGGTGCCACCAACCGCATCAGTGGCATAAACGCTTGCAGATGTAAGCCAGGGTTTGTGTGTGTGAATTTACGTCTACATTCATGCGGTGTGTGCGTGGGGGACAGTCACCTCGTAGTGGGCGATGCGCTGCGAATCGGAGATAAGCTGAGCGTTGCAGATGTTGCAGTAGCTCTCTGTGAAGAGTTCCCCGTCACACGGCCCAGCCGACTTCATCTGGACGCAGACACAGACAGACATGTAAACATGCAAGAAGGCATCAGTGGCCTTTCTGTACCGACTGCATGTTGAAAGGCCAGGCTGAGGAGAAGGCCATGCTTCTTATGAAATCCTGCCTATGAAGTTCACATGTTTGAAAAATCAGACCATCCCAAACGTTTGCTTCAGTTTTCCCAGGAAAAAACGTCATCGCTACACCATAAAGATGAAACTTATTCTTTTCAGAAACCAGGAACTTCTGTCATGTTCCCACTGCAGGAACTATACCGACTGTAGCTGATTGGAGGTAGTTTCTGGACCATGTTTTATTCCGTATATGAAGTGGGTGCTTTTCCCTAGACCAGGAACTACTATTTGGGAGTTTTAGTGAAAAACTTTGCTGGTTAGTTGACCACAAGAAAGCAGTGGAGCAAAAAGTGAGCAGATGAAATTATTTTTATATGTGAACTACATTTAATGCATCAGTGAACACCTTTTTGCTCTCATCTCCATATTTCTGCATCAAAAATTCGATCAATGACCGATATATTTTCGTATAATATTGCTGCGGCTGGCAGTGAAACTATTAGCGGAATAGTGTTACATTGATTTTATTCTGCGGAAAACAAAAGACTGATCTGCTGATCATAATTAATAATGAATTATAAAAATGTCATGGGCCGAATACATAAAATATAGATAAAAATCAGTGTCCAATTTTGACCTAATACAGGATGCAATTTGTCCCATGATCGATCCCCCCAGAAACTAACAAAATAATGTTTTGTTATGTTCATCCTCCATTGTTTTGGGGTGGCGGTGTAGTTTGGCATGATACTACGTGTGAAGTTTAACTTACAAGCTTTTTGTGTCTCCAATGCTTATTTAGCATAAACGTCACAGTTCCTGTTTTGTGGCGGGAACACAACACACAAAAGACATCAGGATCCACAAAGGTTCCTGATTGAGGCGGCCAAAGAACCCAGAACCAGGTGGGAAAGCACCTTTTCACTCATGTTCACTCCCAACCCGGTCCTCATGGGACCCACAGTTGGTCCACGGTTTTGCTCCCTCTGAGCTTCCTGCCAGACAGGTTGGAGGGAGCAAAAATCTGGACTGTCCTGTGGGTCCTCGAGGACCAGCTTGGGAAACACTGCTTTTACCAGTCTGTACCACGTGATGCTTGACTTCTGTTGACCTTAAAGACAGCATCTGTAAGATCTGCCACACGGAAAGAGATCTCAGACACGGCCCATTACCTTTCACCCATGGCCCACAGGTTCATGAAGACATGTTTTTGAGCAGCACAATAATTTAAGACAGCAGATATTAGATGACAGTGGCGCACTGATCAGCCTACTCTCTGTCCCACTGGGCTGCAGTACTCTGTACAAACGCCTCACAGCCATCAGTGCCCCTGAATGCTGCCCCAGTGTCTCATGCTGGTCACCATGGAGATACAAGTTACCATGGTACCACAATTGTGAAGGACAGATTCTCCCTGGCCTGTGACACAGCCCCTGCTCTGTCCTTGACAGCCAGGGTGAGAATTATTAAGGTGGTTCTCTTATAGCTGAGCATCTGAGGTTCCACTGGAGCACCTGACCGTGGTCTTTCCTCTTCCTGTGAGCATATGTACGTCAGGCCTTGTGGGTTCTTGTGCTCCGGGACCTGGAATGCATGGATGGTTGTCATGGTCACACATCCCCATTCAGCCAAGTCTCCTCTCTGGCTGTCTGCTCTCACTATGCCTCCAGGCTCTATTACTCAGATTCAAGACTATGGATACCAGAAGCCATCTGAGCTGATAATCCGTGCCTCCCCCTACAGGAGCCCCCTCCTTGTCCTGCTGGAATCACAGCTCTGAAATTCTCTGTCTCTTTGCCTTGAGGAACACTGAGTCTTGTCGTATGTCAGTGGCGACCTAAAGTCTCCTTAATTCTGTGTCTCACCTACTCCTTTGGGATTACAATTATCCCCCATGTCCCCTTGGGCTCCCAAAATCCCCCATGTCCCGCTCTCAGAGTGGTCCTGCCCTGATTATGTGACCGGGCACTTCTGGGAGACTGATGAAAGGTGCAGTATTAGAATATACATGAAAAATATATCTGAGCATGATGTGGGTTTTCAATGCTCGCCACGTAAACCAAAACCTCAAAGCCTATCTCGTGCATACAGGCACTTCAGATGTCTGTGTGTTTGTTTGATGAACACTCCTGTTCACGCAGGGGTGGAGTGTGTAATATGCACAAAAAGTGAGAGTGAGATCCGTCAAAGTGCTATGCACATCTCTCCACCACTGAATTCATTGCATGAAACAACTTCATTTTTAGCTGATCCTAAGCATTTTCAGCTACAGTGATATTTAGAGGCTAATTGCTGTGACCGGTGTCCTGCTCTGATGTTCTCTGATGTTCACGGTGTCCTGCTGCACTCTGCAGCTTCGCTCCCAGATTGAGCAGACTCTCGGTTCTCACACGTGTCACTTCAGTGTCTCTGCCCTTTTGCTAATGGGCCTGGGAAACAGGATTAGAATGGCCATTTTGGTCATCTAGATGCAGCACTGGGACTCTCGGGGGGTGAGATTTCACAGCTCCCAGCCTACAGTGAAGCCTCACCCTGCTGTCAGAAACCAGCACTTTCTGCCCCGTTCATAAGGTGCCTCTAACCGTGCAGAATGCCTACCATCATTACCGACTTCACATACCAGGTTCCGTAAATACCAAGCACCTCTGCCCACGTTTTTGCCCCATTCCATAAAGCTCTTAATGTTCTCTGGACAAGCCTTTAGTAGGCCTCCCTCACAGCACATGTCAGGGTGGGGAGAATGAGGCAGCAAGCATTCAGGGCTTAGCCACCCATAGTCAGCAGCATGACGTTGTGCCACATGTCAATTCAATTCAACTGGCTGTGTTGTCATACATTCCTACATCATTTATGCAGAGGTGAGTAATTCAGGTCCAGAGAGTACAAGTCCAGACCAACCAGCTAAGTATAAAGGCCCACAGTCACAGAGTACTCCAATGGTTGGTTGAAACAAATCTTGGTCTGGACTATTACTCTCTGGACCTGCACTATCCACCTTTGCATTTATTAACTGGCTGCCTGACCACCCTCCTGGGCATGATAATATTATAGAAAAAGACAGAATGGGCCTGCTTGCTAAAAGCAAGGTGTGGACTGTGGTCAAGGTCAAAGTCCATCAATGAGTCAGTTCCCCACGCCGGCCTGCGTGGCGTGACAGATTGAAAGCTGCACCCACAATATTACTGTGGGTTAAGTCACACCCATAATTCTACCCACCCTAGTGCCACCTGCGACTTACTAACAAAGGGCACAATGTGCAGACAGCATTTCTCCAGTGTAACAGTATAAATAAGGTCTTACAGGCCTATAGGCTTCAGGTGACTAAGAGTCTAGCAGTCCAGGTTAAATGATAGACGGCATGGAGGAAACACATCGCCCCCTTCTGGTTCTTGGAGGAACGGCGTACCGTTGGCTGCTACCTGCTCCCCTTGGTGGAAAGCCTGACACGGTGTGATAAGGACAGGCAGAGATGTGTGGTGCCTCTGCAGAGCAGCTGGCAGGCCTGGGGGGTGATGGGCACAGTCGGCATGCTGGGATGGAGGACGGTGGACTGCATTTCTCTGTGCCTTCTTAGAGACAGCGGCACACCCAGCACAGGGCTGACGATGCCTGTCTCAGTGCCTCTGCTACGGGCACGGGCAGGCAAACCCCACTCGCGGCTACTTACTACTCAGCCACTGCTGAAGTTGTATTTAATTTGTGCCTGGTCTGCAATTAAAAGCTGTAATTAGAGTTAGTCAAGTCCCCCTTCAGATGACTAATAAACATAACAACTGCGCAAATGTGTAGCTGTGCAGGAAACGGGTTTTGTTTAACACACAGTACGGCGGTACACCTACGCGGAATGTAAACAGCTTTTGTTCTGCTGTAGACATTAGCCAGGAAGAGAGCATCGGTTGTGCATCCAGGAATAGGAACATCTGAAAGAGCTGATGATGTGTTTGACCGAGCGACGCTATTTAGAACTGCCAAGGGGAGCCGGCAGTGACGACCTGTCAATCAGCACGCGTGTGTTTACCCGTCTGTCAGTCCCGTGAGCGCAGCGCCGGGCGAGCCGCCCGGGCTGCTTTCTGACAGACTGAGCTCGTTAAAAACTCCAATTAAACCCATCAGAATGGGTCCGGCACTAAAGCACAAGTGCAAAATTAAATATGCTACCCTGTGATTGACAAGCCAGTGAGCAGTGTGTTTGTCAACATTATCAGTCAGGCACTGGGTGTGTGTGTGTGTGTGTGTGTGT